CGTTGATGTGCACGGTTTCGGCGCTTCGGTCTGGCCAACAGCTTCCCTGGCTGGGGTAGGGTCGACAGGCCCCTGGCTCCACGATGGAAATGCCACGACGCTTGAAGAGGCAATTCTGGCTCATGGAGGTGAGGCCGAAGAAAGCAGACTTGCATACGAAGCTCTATCCGAAACCGACCGCGGAGCGCTGATCGCCTTTCTTGAAAACCTGATCCTGATTGACCTGGATCCGGAAGACGAGGAAGAGGAGCACTCTTCCCTCAAGGGAACGCCTGGGTTCGTGCGCAAGGCAGAACTGGACGCGAAGGTTGTCCCACTTGCCAAGCCTGTCTCGAAGTTTCAGTAGGGAGATCGAAGCGCTTTGCCGCCGACGGCGCCGCCTCACTTCTCCAAGCCAAATCCATGGCACTGTCCCGGGCTTGCCCCGGGACCAACTGGCAAGTGTTGCATATCGGCACAAAACCTGGACGGCGCCGAGACCCGGCACAAACAGATCGAGTGCAGTGTTTCAGGGCGGTGCCTGCTAGCCCCCTTGCCAGACCTTGATCGCTTCAACCGGATAAACGAGCATCAGGACATTCAAGGTGAGATTGTCGCGGATCACCCAAAGTGCAAGCAGTTCGAAGAAAATCGCGACCAGGATGGTGACCCAGACTGGCATCCGCCAGGCAAAGAAGAAACCGACCAGCATCCAGACGATGTCGAATATCGAATTGAGCACGCTGTCGCCGGTATAGCCGACGGCAATCGTTGCTTCCCGGTACCGGTCGATAATCCAGGGACTGTTTTCGGCCACCTCCCACGCTGCCTCGATGAGGATCGCCCCTAATGCGCGTTCGCAAACCGAACTGCGCCGGAACAGGAGCCAGAGCACCCAGTAGAAGATGAACCCGTGGATGATGTGAGAAAACGTGTACCAGTCGGCAATATGTTGTGACGACCCGGCAACATCGCTCGCAGGCGTCCAAAGGAGGACGTAACCGCACTCACAGATCGGGATCCTTCCCATGGCGAAAAGTATGGCGGCCATCACGGCAACCATGAGGAGGCCGGTGATCAAACATTTCGTAGGGCTCATTTTGTGACTCTTTTGTTGAAACTATTTTGGAATCGAAGGTGTTGATGAAGGTGAGGGCGCCTTTAGGCGCAGATTTCTAAGAGAGATTTCTAGGCTACCCGCACATTGGTCGCTGTTAAGTTCTGCTGCATCGTAGGGAAGATTAAACATGTATTGGACTGCGGAACTTTCGTCAGGATTTGAGCCGTAGTCGCAGTAACCTGTATCTGTTCCAGGGTTTTGCAACCGGGTTTGTGCCATCGCAATAGCAAGCGATTTTTGAGAGAATCTAATTTGTTCTAGGACTGTGTCAGCAAGTGGCTCGTCAAGGCAATTGTAAACCTCTCCATCGGATCCGGAGAACAGAATGACATTTTTCCCTGCCGGGAGCTCGCTTCGAACGGAAGCTACTTTTTCAACAATTCGCAACCAAGAGATTGGACAAGCAGAACTTTGGATCGTTTGGCTGGTCGCAACATTGGGAACGAAAATACCCAAGACCGCAATTGCGCATTGAAACCAACGGCTCGAAGAAAACTTGATCGGTCCGGAACCTTCCAAGTTGCAACCTTCTTCTGCCACAACGCGCCTAGAAGGTCCCGATGGGCTCTTACCTTACACATTCACTCTGGAATTTTTCTCTTATTCCCTCTATGACCTTGCGCCAACGAAACATCAATCCGTCCGGCCACCAAGAGTGTTGTTGCGCACCGGTATCAACCGTCGCGAATGCGCAGACCCCGCCGGATCAGCGGACCAGGAGAATTTCATGGCAGGCCTCAACGGAAAGGCGCCGTATCAATCACGGCGCACATTTGCAATTATTTCGCATCCGGATGCCGGCAAGACGACCCTGACCGAAAAGCTTCTTCTTTCGGGTGGTGCGATCCGGGCAGCCGGGCAGGTGAGGGCGCGCGGTGAACGTCGCAGGGCTCGCTCGGACTGGATGAAGATCGAGCAGGAACGAGGCATTTCGGTTTCGTCTTCCGTCATGACCTTCGAGCGCAAGGGCATCGTCTATAATCTCCTCGACACACCGGGCCACGAGGATTTTCCCGAGGACACTTACCGCACGCTCACGGCCGTCGATGCGGCAATCATGGTCATTGATGCGGCCAAGGGCATCGAGACCCAGACCCGCAAGCTATTCGAGGTCTGCCGCCTGCGCGACATCCCGATCATCACTTTCGTCAACAAGATCGACCGGGAAGGCCGTCACGCCCTGGAGATCCTGGACGAGGTCCAGGAAGCGCTTGCGCTGGATGTTTCGCCGCAGACCTGGCCGGTCGGCATGGGCTCAGACTTCTTCGGCGTCTATGACTGGCAGCAAAAGAAGTTCCATACGTCCGAAGGCGAGCGCGGCGGCGCCTATGCTGAGACCAGGGACGTTTCGGGTCTTGAGGACGAGATCCTGACCGCAACCGTGTTCGACCGGATCATGGATGAACTGACCGAGAACGTGGAACTCGGTGCGGAAGGCTACGCCGAATTCGACAGGGAGAGCTTTCTCGAGGGTCACCTGACACCGGTCTTTTTCGGCTCCGCACTGCGCGACTACGGTATTGAAGAGGTGCTCGACTTCATAGCGGCCTTTGCACCGCCGCCACATTCCCAGCCGGCCACCGGCGGGCGTACAATCATGCCCGAGGAAGACAAGGTCACCGGTTTCGTCTTCAAGGTGCAGGCCAACATGGACCCCAAACACCGCGACCGTATTGCTTTCGTCCGCCTGTGTTCGGGAACATTCAAGCGCGGCATGAAACTGAAACACGTACGCGCAAACAAGCAGATCGCGGTCTCCGCACCGATCTTCTTTTTTGCCGAGGAACGCGAGATCGCAGATCTTGCCTATCCGGGCGACGTCATCGGCGTCCCGAACCATGGCCAGCTGCGCGTCGGCGACACGTTGACGGAGGGTGAGAACATTCACGTCACGGGCCTGCCGGCATTCGCACCGGAAATTCTGCGACGCGTGCGCCTGTCCGACACCATGCGCGTCAAGCAGATGCGCCAGGGTCTGCAGGATCTGGCCGAGGAAGGTCTGGTGCAGATCTTCAAACCCGACCTTGGTTCCAACTGGATTGTCGGCGTGGTCGGTGCGCTTCAGCTCGATGTCGTGGTTGATCGGCTGAAGGCCGAATACGGCACAGAGATCGGTTTTGAAGCGGTGCCCTACAACACCGCCCGCTGGATTGAAACAGATAGCCAGACGCTGCAGAAGATGATCGAAGCCCATCGCATGTCGATCGCAAACGACCGCGATGACAAGCCGGTGTTCCTGTTCAAGAACGCCTGGGAAGTCGGTCATGTCACTGAAAAATTTCCTGATGTGACCTTCCGCGAAACCCGCGAGATCGTCTACGAGGCGTGACGCGCTGAAAGCAAATCGTCAGGTGCGGTGAAGTCTGCCCGAGGTCTGTCCCGGAAACCGGTTATCCGGTACTGTGCACAATCAATCAGAAGCGGTTGCCTGAACCGCAATCCGGTCGGCGAGGTGTACAATGGCAGACTATGACAGGAATCCCGCACCCTATCTGCAGCAATCGGTCGCCGACAACCCCTACAGGCTGCTTGAATGGACGGTGTTCCTGGAAGTGCTGGGGCCGGTCACAGGCAAACGCGTTCTCGACCTGGCCTGTGGTGACGGTCGTTTGACACGTGTTCTTGCCCATGGCGGAGCTGCGGAGGTTCTTGGTCTTGATGTCTCCGAAGAAATGCTGGAACACGCCAGGGAACAAAACGCCGAGGGGCAACCTGAGGCCTTCCCGGATCGGGTGAGCTATGGCGAGGTCAGCGCCACGGACGAGACCTTTCAAATGACCCCGCAGGCAGACATCGTCACGGCGATGTATCTTTTTCACTATGCACGCAGTGTTGAGGAACTTGACCATATGGCTGACCTGATCGGCCGTAACCTTGAACCCGGTGGGAAGTTCGTAACCTATACGATCAATCCGGACTATGATTTTACCAGTGCTCCGGACGACATGGAAGAACGGATCGGCTTTCATTACCGCATCATTGACCCACCGGCATACGCGCTCGTCATCAAGGATTTTGAAGTTCCGATATGGCAATGGAGCCGGCAGCAGCATGAAGAAGCGCTCAAACGCGCCGGGTTGACCAATATTCGCTGGCATTCGCTCCAGTTTCCGCCGGAGCAGACACACCATCTGGTCGGTTGGGCCTGGTACCTGGACAATCCGAGCTGCATCGTGCTGTATGCGGAAAAGTAAAGTGAAATATTAGTTTAGGCCGGGTGTGTTTTGAATTTCGTAATGTTCTATTGGGATGAAAATTTTTAAATTATCTTTAGTTATTTGAGATTAAATTCCTTAAATGATCTAGTACAAGAGATTCAGTTTGAATGTAGTAGGGTGATTTAATGTTGATATTTGGTCTCTTTACATCATCTATATAGTTTTGGAAGTGTCCTTTGTCATTTTTTCTCTTTCCTCTTTCAAAGAAATCTCGGTATCTTCTTGGGGTTGCGCCAAAAAAGTGCAGAAATTCTACGGAGGGATAGTTTTGGTATTCTCCTCTTTCAGCGCCCTCGAATGAAATTGCGTCTCCATGCAAACTTTCTGAAAGACTTTTAGGGTAAGGTTCCAGAAAGTAGACTTTTGAAATACCTGATGCCACAATGTGTTTTGCGCACATGTGACAGGGGTATGTTGTGCAGAAGAGCGTTGAGTCTTGAAGTCTTCTACCAGTTCTTGCTGCGTCTGTTATTGCAGACATTTCAGCATGAACTATTCTACCAAATTCGAGAATATCCATTAATTGAGAGTTTTTCACACTGTCTCGCTGTAAAACATCTTCTTCGAGTGTTGTTTTGCTTTCGATGTTTTGAACTAATTCGCTGATTATCTCCCTTTTTCTAACTACATTTGGATCCGATTTTCGAGTGTAGTCTCTCGCATCAAAATTAGATTCCCCGTCTTCCCAGTAAGTGCCGCCACCGGCCTTTGGCACTTCGTTTGAGCCGAGACTCAAAATTTCTCCATTTTCACTGAACACTGCGGCACCGACTTGGCGTGAAAGATCAAGGCTCCGAAGCGCAGCAGCTTTTGCGAAAAACATACCGTATTCAAGTTTTGTCGGAGACTTGCTGTTTGACGAAAACAACAACTCGCAAAATCGCTTTATTTGATTTCGTACTTCTGACTCAAGTGAATCTATATTCACAATGTAATCAGCATCGTGAAATATTTTAGAGACCTTTTGCCCGTACTTATCTTCTTCGTTTTCATCAATCGTAATCAGTTTTTCTGCGAAGCTTCTGTAGTTGTTTAGTTCGGAGCTATTGTTACTAGACGCCATCTTTTTTGATAGGCTATGAACTCTTGCACTTCTGCGTGAGTATATTGAAATTTGGTAAAAAGTTTTCCCGTATATTGTTCTGAGGAAGGAAATTTCTTCTTTATTTTTGAATTGACGAATGATATAAGCGGTTTTTGCGTATTTTTTACTTTCTGGGGTTGAGTTTAATTTGTAGTAGTCTTCGCGGAGCCTTGATATTTCTGATACTGTTACTGCGGCTAAGAATGCCTGGTCCTTAAAATGGCTCCTAAGTTGATTTCCGTATTGAATGTAACTTTCGTATCGCTCTTGGAGTGGTTTTTTTTTGAGCTCATTTTTAGGTTTTACACGGGTTGAAATGATTTCAAATAAGTCGGTAATTCTAATTTTTATTACATGATACCCATTTTTTTTGAGATTGCTTTCAAGCTCCTCCGAGACTTCGTCAATATCGACACCCATTGGAGATACCATGCCCAAAAAAAGTTCTGGAAATTCGATGTTCTCTAATATCGCTTTCAAGGGGCGACTCCGAATCTGATATGTGTTATTTGAACATATTGTTAACCAATAAATCCTATTATAAGATAAGCGCAACCCATGGGAGAGTCTCTGATGTCAAAAGAAAAATCAGATGATCGCATGAAAGAGGTTATTCTGAGGCGTATTGATCAGTTGAAAAGTGAGCAAAATGCTTCTTATGAAGGTTGGTATAACTCAAAGTTAGAAGAGTTCAAAACTAGACAAGAGCGTGAATATGAACGCGAAGCAGTAAGTTGATAAAAAAAATTAAACAAAAAAGGCGCGATTTCGGCGCCTTTTTTTGTTTAAAAAAATTATTTTTCAATAAAATCACAGTCTTTTTTTTAATTTATTGAAACGAAGAATTGATACTGCCACTTACCGACATCACCTTGACATATACGTTCGCAACGGTACCAACTCAGGAAGTTTGCTTTTTATCAAAAGTATAGATCAGGAATTTTCCGACCAATGATTACCGTCCCGGAACTTGCGGCAGACGCTCTCGGCGATTTCCTGACAACCTATGTTCAGCGCCGTTTCGGCCGCTCGGATCCGGAACTTGCCGAACTGTTACCGTCTATTGCACGCATCGCGCTGGAGTGTATCGGCAATAGCGACGCGCTTTATCACAATATCGAGCACACAATGCTGGTGACGCTGGCCGGGCATGACATTCTGCGCGGCCGTGCACTCCATTCGGATATGGCCCCGACCGACTATGCACATGTCATCGTTGCCTGCCTTACCCATGATATCGGTTATGTGCGTGGTATCTTGCCGGAAGACGAAGACAATCGCTTCGTCATTGATCCTGCCGGCGACAAAATCAAATTGCCGCGCGGCGCGTCGGATGCGTCGCTGACACCTTATCATGTCGATCGCTCCAAACTCTTCGTACATCATCGTCTTGCGGGCAACAGCCTTCTCGACCCTGAGCGCGTTGCAACTGCAATCGAAGGCACCCGGTTTCCAAACAGGTTTCCGGATGACGGCGAAACACTGTGCGAAGAAGCAAATTTGTTGAGAGCTGCCGACTTTATCGGTCAGCTTGGCGACCCGCACTATATTCGCAAGGCGAATGCCCTCTTTTATGAATTCGAAGAATCCGGTCTCAACAAGCAACTCGGCTATGACACCCCGGCTGACCTGGTGCATCTTTATCCGCAGTTCTACTGGAACAGCGTTGCACCCTACATACAAAAGGCAATCGACTATCTGAAAATCACGACCTCCGGGCGCCAGTGGATCGCCAATCTTTATTCCAATCTGTTGCTGGCCGAAAAGGACATGGCGCTTCTGGGGCCGCAACGCTAGAGCCGTCCTTTGTGTATCGGATTGCTTCCGCTCGCTGGAAATTCCTGTGTTTCTTGTCCGCCGTCGCCGGGGTAATCCACGACAGTTGGTAAGATGCCGGTTGCTACAGTCTGAGAGATGATGTCACCGGCCGATCCGTCGATCGAATCCCGGCCCATTGCGTTCACTGGTCATTCCATTCGAGCGATGAAAAAAAGATCAGCAGTTGCCGAAGGAGGTCATATTGACCGGTCGAACTCAGTGAACAACGCTGATCTTCAATGAATCGGTTTCAAAGGGACCCCTTCCAAGATCCTGGAATGGTTGATGAGTTCCTGCCGCTCAAGCGCTTCATTCAGTACATTAACGTTTCTTCGGTTGTCCGTAGCTGGTCCTGGGCAGCTGACGTTGCTCTCATGGGTGACAGAACTTGACGCCTGTTGACGACATCCACTCACAAAGTCAAAGGGGCTCCGGGATAAAATCCCGGAGCCCCTTTGACTTTGATTTCGTTCACGGGATCTACGATCCCGGAAATTGCGGGTTACGCGGACTTCCTGCGACGCACCAGCGCGAGCCCACCGACCGCGGTCACCAGAAGCAGAGCGCCGGCTGGGATCGGGACGGGTGTGGTTTTCAGGTTGGCAAACTCAAAAGCGTTGGAACCCGACGTGAGAACAATTTTCTGGAATGCGACATTCGTGACGCCGACCAGTGAAGCCAGAATGCCGCTTGGGCCTTTCACGTCATTGCCGTTGATGGTGTAGGTGCCACCACCTCCCAACAACGTAATCACCAGGTCATTGTAGCTGTCAGGAGATCCCCAGATCATGGACAGTCCGGTCTGGACCTTGTCAAATTCAAAGGTTGCCGAAGATCCGCCCTGCACCGAGCTGAAAACACCGTCGGTGTTCTGGTGGGACGTGCCCTCCCACGGAGATCGTGCGATCAACCCGCCGCCACCATTGAACTGGTTGCCGATCACGTTGTTAAAGTAGTTTCCTGTTGTTGACGTCGGTGCAATATTCGCAACCGGGGTCAGCGCTTCGATTTGAGCCTGATTGAGCCCTGAAAAGCTAAGCGTTGGAGCGGCACTGGCAACTGTGGAGGCAGCAAGAAAGATGGCTGCCGCAATTCCCGCGAAATTCAATGACTTCATGTTTAACGATCCCATGGTTAATTTTTCTTAGTCATACTTAGCATGGAAATACAACCAGGCAAGCACTTATTGCGTGCAGCAACGTAAGTGGAAGATTTGACGGGCAAATAGTCTCATTTTGAAACTGACAACTGCGTCAACCGTCCTGTGTGTGCACATTTACGCCTGTTCTCCAATGCATGAACCTTGGTCAAGCAAGCCCTGGGCCAAATGACAGACATGGATTGCAAACAAAATTCGTTCATTGCAGTCGGCTTTTTTCGAACAAATGCCTGTGTCACGAACAGGCCTTCGCAATTCGACAAGAGTTTCCAGTTATTCGAATGTGTTCCTGTCGTATGAAAAACGAAGTCAAACGCAACAGAAATTCCACCCGGATCAATGATGGGAGGCGACGTTTTCACTCAACAGGAAGAGATGTATGCCAAGGCTCGCAGGGAATTCAGATACCCGGTCCGCAGCTATTGCGGTTGAGGCCGAAATACTTTCAGAAACTGGCAAATCACTTTATACAATTCTCGATAATGAACGTTGTGATGACACCAGCAATGCGACAGTGCGGCTGGCTGTCTATTGACCGACATGTTGTTTGAGCTTGTCAATTGTGCCGCTGGATATCGGCAGTGGCGCACAGGGTGACGGCGCAGACAGGATTGACCGTATGCTTTTTGCTTGCTGGCAAGAACACTTTAGCAGCTGGCGCAGGTCATCGGCAGCTGTGATTGGGGCGCCTGACCGCAGAGACGAGGTGTCATGACTGAGACAAAATCGAAACTGACACCCAAAGCCATTATGGCTGCGTCCAGCGGCAACGTTCTGGAATGGTACGATTTTACGGTATACGGATTTCTGGCTCCGACGCTGGCAACGCTCTTTTTCCCGTCGGAGGACAAGTTGGCCTCGCTCCTGTCCGCCTTTGCGGTTCTCGCGGTCGGGTATGCCGCACGGCCGATCGGAAGTGTTATCTTCGGACATATAGGTGACCGCATCGGGCGCAAGACGGCACTTATGATCTCCGTTCTGCTGATGGGAGGCGGGTCCTTTGCCATCGCTGCACTTCCGACCTATGAGGAAATCGGTATTGCTGCCGCCTTGCTTCTGGTTGCCATCCGCGTCGTGCAGGGAATATCCGTTGCCGGTGAGTACACGGCTTCCGGCGTGTTGCTTGTCGAGCAGGCACGCGAGGGGCGCAGGGCCATGACCGGTGCATGGGTCGCCTTTGCCATGATGTGGGGTTGTGTTCTCGGGTCTGCCGTTCCGGCGGGTTTCAGCACGGTCCTGAGCACCGAACAAATGGCTGAGTGGGGATGGAGACTCCCATTCGCGATCGGTGGTCTTGTCGCGATATTCAGCGCGATCCTGCGCTTGAGCCTGACTGAAACCGTCAGGGCTGAAAACCCGGACGACAGGACGTCTCCCGTTCTGCAAAGCCTGCGCAATCACAAGGGGCTGATCGGACAGATGGTTTTGCTGCTGATACCAACGGCCGTGATCTATTTTGTCATCTACGTCTACGCGGTGTCTTACCTGGGGTCGGAAACCGGATTTTCCTCTTCGAAAGCTCTCGACATCACGACAATCAATCTCATCGTCATGGCGCTGTTCGTGCCGGTTTGCGGCATGGCAGCCGACAGGTTCGGATTTCGTCCGGTCTTTTTGGCCGGCGCGATCGTTACGCTTCTTGCGGCCGCACCCTGTTGGTGGCTGATGCACCGACCGGACACCATATCGGTTTTTGCAGGCCAGCTCGGGTTGACGCTCAGCAGCACGGCCGGCTGGGCCCTTTCGGTCAGTGCGCTTACGATGATGGCGCCGCAACACCTTCGCTGCAGCGTTGTGGCGCTCGGTTACAATATTTGTATGGCTGTTTTCGGTGGCACGACACCAATCGTTGCGACGTATCTTGTGAACAGGACCGGTGACGATTTTGCGCCGGTCTACTACATCATCATCGCGACGCTCGTTTCGATCCCGGTGATCTGGCGCCTGCCGAAACTGATCAGCAGCGTGGAGGTTTACACCGGCGACGAAACGTCAAGCAGGGCGTAACGGCCGGAGCGGGCGCCGCAGGTTGCCGTCTGCACATCGGGTCTGCTTGATCTGAGCAAGTCGCCGTTGAGAGACATTCAACAGGACGACGCCCCAAAGGGCTGTCAAACGCCAGAACACGAACCGGCCAGTCAGCCGGTTCGTGCCTGAAACAGTGTGTTAGGAAGCCTTCGCTGCCGGCAGCTCGATATCAATGCCGAGTGTCGTGACGTCGCCTGAACGGTCCATTTCAAGGCGTACGGAGTCCGGGTCTATGTCGACCCGTTTGGCAACAACGGCCAGGATATCTTCCCGCAGGCTCGAGATCAGAACGGCATCGGATCCGTCATCGGCCCGTTCGTGTGCCAGAAGGATTTGCAGCCGGTTTTTGGCAACAGAGGCGCTTTCGCCTCTTTTGCCAAAGAGGCTCAGGATGTTCATGCGGCCCTCCCTTTGAAGAGCTTGCCGAACAGGCTCTTCTTCTCTTCCGGGATTGTGACCGGGATGTTTTCCCCGAGCAGACGGCGCGTCGCTTCCATGTACGCTTTTGCAGCCGGAGAATTTTCATCCGACAACGTGACGGGGAGGCCGACATTGGACGCCTTCAGAACATCCTTGCTCTCCGGTACGACGCCGATCAGCGGAACCGAAAGAATGTCGACCACATCGTCAGTTGCCAGCATGTCGCCAGTCTTTGCGCGGTCCGTGTCATAGCGCGTGATCATCAGATGCTTGGGCATCCGGCCACCGTCTTCCGCAACCTTGGTCTTGGCATCGAGCAAACCGATGATCCGGTCACAGTCCCGAACGGAAGACACTTCCGGATTGGAAACGATGATGGCCTCGTCGGCGTGGCGCATGGCAAGTGTCGCTCCGCGTTCGATGCCGGCCGGGCTGTCGCAGATCACCCAGTCGAAATACATGCGCAACTCGTTGATGACACTGGCGACACCCTCCTCGGTGAGGGCATCCTTGTCACGGGTCTGGGACGCCGGCAGCAGGAACAGATTGTTGAGCTTCTTGTCGCGCACCAGGGCCTGCTTGATAGACGCTTCGCCGCGTACAACGTTGACGAGGTCGAACACCACCCGGCGCTCCGCGCCCATGATCAGATCGAGATTGCGCAGCCCGACATCGAAATCGATCGCACAGACCTGGTAGCCTTCTTTGGCAAGCGCCGAAGCAATCGCGGCGGTTGTGGTCGTCTTGCCAACCCCGCCTTTGCCCGACGTGACCACAACGACAGTGGCGTTGCTCATGGTGTCCGTCCCGTTTTTGACTTCAGTCCCGTCTCTCATTGGCAGGGTCCTGTTCAGTTCAGTTCTTCAAAGACCAGCGTTTCGTTCTCGAAGCGGATCTGTGCCGGTGAATTGCGTAAGGCGGCGTCGAAGTCGTCCGCGACCTTGTAAAGTCCGTTGATGGAGACCAGTTCGGCATCCAGCTTCGTGCAGAAAATCCTGGCATTGTCCTTGCCAGCAACGCCAGCAAGGGCCCGGCCACGCAGTGCGCCGTAGATATGGATGGACCCGCCCGCAATGATCTCTGCACCAGAGCTGACGGACCCGATCACCGTGACGTCTCCATCCGGATGGAGGATGCTCTGGCCTGAGCGAACGGGTTCGGGAATCACGATCGATGCACCTTCTTCCATTGGGGCAGGATCCGATGTCTCCGTGTCCGGTTTGGCAGAAGTATGGCCGTTGACTGATTGTCCGTTTACATCCCCGTCTTTCGAATTGACCACGGATGTTTCACTTGGGGCTGCGGCTGATGCATCAGCTGACTGGACCTCTTTGTTGTCTTCGTCACTGACATTGCCTGGCTCGGGCACCGCCACATCTGAAGCAAGCCGTCCGCCGCCAAAGCTCGGCGGCATGCCTTTCTTGAGGCGCGTCCCGGACACGCCGTCTATTCCCATGACGCGGATCGAGCGCTCGTTCAAACCATCGAGGAGCTGTTCCAGATCCTCGATCGGGATGTTGGTGCCTCGAACATCAAGGATGATCGGCCGGTCGATGAAAAAACCCGGCGAGCGAGATATGATCCGGTCAACTTCCTTGAACCACGCATCGAAGGGTTGCTCAGGTGAAAGCACGATCGCAATAAAGGATTTTCCCTTGAACTTCATGAACGGGGTCCGGCAGCATGTCAGGTCGGTTGATTTGGTCAAATAAACCTACCATTAACCGAACCTGACATTCCGGCAGCGGTCCGTTTTCCACCGATATCGATTTTGTCGAGCAATTTCAGATAATTGACGGTTCAACCTATACGTAGGATCAATAGACGTCCGCTATGCTCGCGAGAACTACCGAGAGCGGCTGCGAGAATCATCGTTATGTTCCGGCGCTCAAATCCTTTGCCGATGAATGATTTAACTAAAATCTTGTAAAATGCTGGAATTTCGCCATATTGCAGCGCACTATATGGAGGTGGATGTGTACGGACGTTCAACGTCTGGGGTGAAAAGATGAGTAATTTCAGTGATATGGTCAAATACATCGGTCTGTCGATAGACGAGGCCGCTGCTGCTCTTGACGTATCAAAAGATGAAATTGTTCGCTGGTGCGACACAAGCGAAGCACCCCCCTTGCATATCTGGCAGTGCCTTGTCCGGATGCTGGACGAGATCCGCATCTCCGCGGAAGAGGCCGCCAAGTCAGCGGATCTGGATCAACTGGAAGCGTCGGATCTAAACCGCGTCAACCTGACAGTTCCCGGACAGGCCGCTGCAGAATTCGATGGACCCAAACGCGCGGCAACCGCAATGGCTGTGGCAACTCTGGCACGGGTATTTGTCTGACATTGACCGAGTTGACCGGAATTGATGGTTACTTGCTGTAGATTTCGCAGCTTGGAGCAACCAGCGGGTCTTTGGCGATTGCACGCTTTCTGGTAACTAGGGTCTGGAGCGGCGTCATTGACGGCCTCCGGCATGCGAACCGGAAAACTTCTCGACGCGCTTCGTTCCTCATGTCTTCGGGCTTGCGTCACAAGCGGGCCGATCTACCCAGCCGAAGAGGGCTTCAGCCATGTCAGCATTGCTCAGGGGACTCCTCGCGGCACTTGGGGCGTTCGCTCTTTTCTCAACCCACGACGCCGTTATCAAGTCGCTTGGCGGAACCTACCAGGTGTTCCAGATCATCTTTTTCTCGATGCTGTTTGCCTTTGTGCCGATGTCCATCATCATGTTGGCTGACAAGGCCATCGACAATTTCCGTCCACATTTTCCTGTCCTTGTTCTTTGCCGTGCCGGACTGAGCATCGTTGCGATGTCTTGCGGGTTCTACGCATTTACCGTCCTGCCTCTTGCCGAAGTTTATTCGCTGCTTTTCGCCACGCCGCTTCTGGTGACGGTACTGTCCGTTCCGCTCCTCGGAGAGACGGTCAGGATGCAACGCTGGGGTGCGGTGCTGGTCGGGCTGATCGGGGTCATGATTGTCCTGAGGCCGGGCGTTACCGAACTCACATGGGGGCACATTTCCGGGCTGACGGCCGCCGGTGCCAGTGCCATGTCATCCATCCTGGCCCGCAAGCTCGGTGGCAAGGAACGTCCCGCCGTCCTGATCCTGTTTCCGATGCTCCTGTCGATGCTGGTCATGTCGATGACATTGCCGATTGTTTATGTGCCCGTATCGCTTCCCGATCTCGGGTTGATGGCGGTTGTCGGCTTCCTGTCCGTGCTTGCGCAGCTTTGTATTCTCGGCGCCTACCGGGCCGCGCCAGCTGCGTTTGTCGCTCCCTTGCAATACAGCCAGATCCTGTGGGCAACATTGTTCGGAGCGCTCTTCTTTGCCGAAACGCCGGACCTTTACGTTGCCCTTGGCTCTTCGGTGATCATCCTGTCGGGTATCTTCGTGGTCTGGCGCGAAAGCAGGGAAAATGTCTCGGATCAGACACCGGTCCTTCGAACCGCGAACCCGCGGGTCGACACGGGGCCGCAGCCGAAATGAATCCGTGTTTGCTCAGTCCAGCCGCTTCTTGAAACGAAGGGCGGCGACCGTCATGCCGAGAACAAAGAAACCGCACATCCAGAGGACATCGCGATGCAGGTCGACAAGGCCGGCATCGCGCAGAACGAACCCGCGCACCATGCGCATGAAATGGGTGGCGGGAAAGGCCTCTGCGATGTACTGCGCAATCAACGGCATGCCTTCATAGGGGAACATGAACCCGGAAAGCAGGATTGACGGCAGCAGCACGAAGACGGTCATCTGGGTGGCCTGGAGCTGGCTCTGCGCGATGGTTGACAGCACCAGACCGAGTGACAGGCTCGCACCTATGAACAGCAGTGTTCCGATCAGAAGATCGAGTGTCTTGTCGCCGAAAGGCACGTTGAAGAGCATGTGACCCAGACCCAGAATGATCACCGTCTGCAGCAGGCCGATAAAGATATAAGGGATGATCTTCCCGATCATCAGTTCCATTGGCCTTACAGGGGTGTTGATCAGCATTTCCATGTTGCCGCGCTCGCGTTCGCGCACGATTGCCGCAGACGTGAACATGATCATTGTCATGGTGAGAATGATGCCCACCAGGCCCGGGACGATGTTTATGGCCGTCCGCTGCTCCGGATTGAAGAAGAGGGCAACTTCAAATGTCGGCGTGGATCGGTTCGGTGCCTGTCGGTTGAGCTCTGAAAGCGGCATCGACCGGAGTGATTTGATAGCCCCCGCTATCATCGTGTCGGAACCGTCGACGATCCATTGTGCCACCGGCCTGCTGGTTTCCTCATCCGTTGACGGCGGTGTGCCGCGGCCGACTGAAGGAGACCGCACGATCCGTTGCGACAGGTCTTCGGGCAGGACGAAAGCGGCGCGTACACGAGCGGACTTGATCGCCGCTTCGGCTTCTTCCGGGGTGCTCAGGCGTTCGGTTACCTTGACCACTCGCGTGGCTTCCACCATCTGGATCAGGATACGGCTGAGCGCTGTCTGGCTCTGGTCGACCACAGCAACGGGAATGTCGCGAATGTTGGTGTTGATGGCATAGCCGAAAAGGATCAGCTGGATCAGCGGGATCATGATCACCATGCCGAAGGTCATCCTGTCACGGCGGAGCTGTGCCAGTTCCTTGAGGAAAATCGCGGAAATGCGGGACAACGACCTCATTGGCGGCCTTCTCCGGTTGCCGTCACGAAAACGTCCTCGAGATTGGGTCGAACCTGCTCGATCAGCGTTGCACCGTCGGTTTCCGGTTTCTCCTTGAGGAAGGACTGCGGGTCCCGAATGTCGTCATCCACCAGCACCCGCAAGCGGGCACCCAACTGGGCGGCCGCCATGACACCGGCCGTTCCCAGAAGGTGACGGCGGATCTCGCGGAGGTTCGGGCCTTCTATTTCAACCACGTTGGCGCCCATCGCTGCCATCAGTTCCTTGGGTGCGCCGTCGGCCCGCTTCTGGCCCGCTTCCAGGATTGCTATCTTGTGACAGCGCTCCGCCTCGTCCATGAAATGCGTCGTCACGATGATCGAGGTACCGTTTTCCACGAGGTCGAACAGCTGCTCCCAGAAATGCCGCCGGGATTCAGGGTCGACCGCAGAGGTGGGTTCGTCCAGGAACAGCAACTGCGGCTCGTGCAACACGGCGGTTGCCAGGGCAAGACGCTGGCGCTGGCCACCAGACATCTTGCCGGCGAACCGGTCCTTCAGGTCCGTCAGTTCATACCGGTCCATCACTTCCCGGATGCGGTCCTGGCGCTTTTTTCTCGGCAGGCCGTAAATCGTCGACATGAAATTGAGATTTTCGAGAACTGTCAGATCGCCGTAGAGCGAGAATGTTTGCGTCATGTAGCCGATCTTGTATTTCAGCGTCTCCGCATCCTTTGGAACGGACAGGCCCAGCACCTCGACCGTGCCCTCGGTAGGCGTCAGCAGCCCTGTCAACATGCGCATGGCAGTTGTCTTGCCGGAGCCGTTGGGACCGAGAAAGCCGTAGATCATGCCGCGCTCAATCGTGAGGTCGAGCCCGTCGACCGCACGGAAGTTCTTGAATTTTTTCACCAGCCCTTCAGCCCTGACGACGATGTCCGACGCAGGCGCAATCACGGAAGCACCACCTGGGCAGGAACGCCGTTCGGCAGATCGGACGCGCTGTCGGGAAGTTGTATCTCTGCGACATACATCAGCCGTGCGCGTTCAGACTGATTGAGAGCATAGTAGGGCGTGAACGAAGGGTCGGAGCTGATCCAGCGGACATGACCTTCAATGGACGCGTCGAGACCGTCAACCCTGACCTTGAGCTTGTCGCCTTCCTTGATCTTGACCCGGTGCGGTTCCGGGACATAGACGCGTGCATAGGGCGCATTGCCTGCAAGCAGAACGGCAACGGGACTGCCTACGGTGACGCGTTCTCCAAGGTTCCATGGCAGGTTGTCCAGAACACCGTCACGGGAGGCCGTGATTGTCAGGTCCGATAGGATCGTCATCTGGGTCATGAGACTGGCCTCGGCGGCGGCAAGTTCCGCGCGGGCGATGTCGATATCCTCCGGCCGGGACCCCGCCACAAGTTCCTTCAGCTCTTCTTCGGCACTTTTCAGGCTGGCCGCCGCTGCATCCCGACCGGCCCGCGCACTGTCAAGCTGTGCCTGGCTGGTGGTGCCACGCCCCGTCAGGTTGCTGTAGCGCTGGAAAGAGGCCTCTGCGTCGACCAGTTCAGCGTTCGCTCCGGCGACATTTGCGCGGGCTTTTGCAATATCTTCTTCGCGTGAGCCGTTGAGCAGCTTTCGCAGATTGGCCTTCGACTTTTGCACTTCGGCCTGCGCCTGGTTGACGACGGCCTGCTGTTCTGTCGGGTTCAACTGAGCGAGAACCGTTCCCGCCTCGACAAACGTTCCCTGCGGAATGGGCAGGTCGATCAGCACCTCGTTGGCAGTGGCGGTCAGAGCCACCCGGTCTCGTTCCAGCGACCCGAGCGCCACGTCGCTCTCCTCGCCGAAACACCCTGCCAGGAAGAGGCAGGCTGCACTCACCCGAGCTGAACGGACAAGAAACAACAACATGACTTTCTCCACAAGATCAGCAACATGGACCGGACACAATTCTAAGCAGCTTCACACTAGTCCGATCACGCCAGGCAAACCACTGGCCAAACGTAAAAAGCCGGGCACAGCCCGGCTTCTCGCATCAGTGCGATCACAAGTCAGCTGGCGCGCTTGAAGATGTTGTACCAGCGTTTCTTCGGCACCGTGATTGCCCGCTCCAGGATCTCCGCTGCATAGAGCGCAGCATTTTCCCGGGCCTTGGCAACACCGGACACCACCGATGCGTCGAGATTTGCAAGCCCGCCACCGAACTCGAACAAATCGCGGAAAGCCGCCCGTTCGACAATCGGTGTCATCAACACGTCGATATTCTGGGTGGACAGGAACTCCTGCACCGATTTCATGGCGCGTGTGGTGACGGCTGCGTTTGTGCGCGTCAGAACGACACAATGCTTGATGTCCTGCCGGACGATCTTTTCAAGTTTCTTGATCAATGTCAGGATCTTGGCACCGCCACGCGCGTCCATCGAAGAACCCTGGATCGGGACGACCACCAGATCGGAGACCGACAGCGCGTTGGCAACGATCAGATTTTCGGTGCCTTCCAGGTCGACAATCACATAGTCGGAATATTCGGTGGCGTGCGTGATCTGCTCTGTGATGGAGGCCGGAGACATTTCGCTGACGACCGAGATGCCCGGACATGTCCTTGGTAGTTCAAACCACTTCGAGATCCACTTTTGCGGATCGGCATCGAATATGGTCACGCGTTTTCCTCGTGCCGCGACTTCTGTCGCCAGCAGCAGGGCGGCTGTGGTTTTGCCCGCGCCGCCTTTTGCATTTGCGAAGGAAATGACTGGCATCTGGGTTCTCCTGAACTTGCCGTGCATTGTCTTGCGGTTCGGTCTCTTTCGGACCTGTCTCATTGAAAATCTTGGGATTTTATGGTTACCAATTCCTTAAGTTCGCAATTTGCGAGGAAGTTATTCAAAGAGCCTTCCAGGGTGTGGATAAAGTTGCGAATTTCCTCCGTATTAATCGCAGTGTGGGTAGTCGATTTCGGAAAATTCCCGCGATTTAACAAATTGACAAAGCCAAAGCCCGGTTGGAAACAGCTACCTGCCGGGTGCGACTTTGGCGCCGGCCCGTGTAACGATGGCCGCCGGTTTTTGCCCGGGACGCAATTGCACTGCGCAGGCGTGGCGCGTAGGTTATCGACTGATTTGCTTGAACGCGTTGCCTGAACGAAGAGCCATTTATGCTGCACCGATTGATGTCTGCCCACTCGATGAGATTGATTTGTGGTGTCTTGCTGGGCGCTGCCATTGCATGTTCAGGAACAGCGCAGGCCGATGTTCTGAAGCCGTACAAGGATCGTCTCTTCAGATACAAGAAGGTCTCCGAGACGCTCTACGACGGCGACTTCATCGTTGTAGAATATTCCAAGCAGCGTGATCTGCGTGACCGGGACGAAGTCGACGAACGCAAGGTGTTCGGCAACTATGTCTCCTACAAGCCCAAGCGGGGCAGGGGCAGCGCCGAACTGCAGGCCAACGGCCGGACGATCCAGTATATGGGGACCGGCAAGTGGAAGGGCGGCGCAAAGGCCATTGTCATCTATATCCACGGCCAGGGCGGCAACCGCTTCCAGGGCATGAACGACGTTTCCTTCGGCGGCAATTTCAACCGTGTGCAGAACCTGATGGTGCGCAATGGCGGTGCATATCTGACGGTCGATATCAAGAATTTCGGCAAGGGCGGAACAGCCGATGTTGCTGCCCTGATCCAGCAACAGAAACAACTCTCGCCTGGCGCAAAGGTCGTGGTGGCGTGCGGGTCCATGGGAGGCATCATCTGCTGGAACCTGGTGAAGAGCGCCAACTATTCCCGTCTGGTCAACGGCATCATGCTGCTCGGTTCGCCGAAGGATCCGAACTTCCTCTCGTCCGGGGGACTGTCGCGCAACGTGCCGATATACATGGGGCAGGGGACGCTCGACCGGGTCTACAATTGGGAAAGCCAGGCCAATTTCTTCAAGCAGATCAAGTCAAGGGCACCCAACTACCCGATCCGCTTCACGCTGTTCGACACAGGCACGCACGGCACACCGATCCGCATGACAGACTGGCGCCTGGTGCTCAACTGGATGCTGGGATGACATGAAGCCCCCGGCACGCGATGATGAACCGTCTGTGGTCGGGAGCATGATGCAAAGAACCGGGTTCAACCCACGACCGGTGGTCTGACCGCGAGCAATCCCTCAGCCAGATGATCAAACACCATGCGGATCCTGCGGCTGGTGTGAAGTTCCCGGTGCGTGACCAGCCAGATCGGAAACGTGATCGGCTCAACATCCTCAAAGGCTGGAACAATTTCTGGGTAGCGTACCGCGATCTCGTCGGCCATGATCGACAATCCGAACCCTTCACAGACATATTGCCAGGCAACGATGCCACTGGGCGAACCGAGATTTATGTTGGCCTCGCTGACATCGAGTCCGAAGACCCGCAGATATTTGACCAGTTCTTCATTATTGTCGTAGCCGACGAAGTCGAGATCCGCAGCGTCTTTCCTGGTTGGCTTTCTGCCGATTTTTTCCAGATAGGATCTTGCGGCATAGATCCGGGCGGGTGCTTCGCGCAGCTTGCGCGCATAGAGATCGGGGTGATCCGGTTCGACATGGCGCACGGCAATATCCGCCTCGCGCCGCCGCAGGTCGCTGAGACTATTGGTGCAAAGGACCTTGAGTTCGATGGCCGGAGCCTTGCGGCGCAAGTTCCGAAGGATGTCCGGCAGAACGTTCGCTGCCATCAGATCTGTTGCGGAGATTGTCACCAATCCCTCAATCTGTTGGGATTGGCCGGACGCTGCAAGCGAGATCCGGCTGGCCGCGTCACCCATGGCACGCACGTGTTCGGCAAGCTCGATACCGGCCTCTGTTAGAACGAGGCTTTTGGAAACCCGTTCGAACAAGGTAACTCCAAGTGTTTCCTCCAGTGCGGCGACTTGACGGCTCAGGGTCGGTTGCGTCAGGCCTAGAGCGCGTGCGGCAGCCGACAGGGATCCTTCCTCTGCCGTCACGAGAAAGGCCCGGGCCTGGTTCCAGTCGAAGGTGATACTTTTCCAGTTCATGCATTTTTGTATATCACCTAGCGAGATTTCGGCAATTTCCATTCGTTTTTGGAGAGGTTAGAAGGGACGCAAGGAGCGCTTCAGATGAGCCTGCACACTTTAGTTTCGCACCTGGCAAATGCTGCGATTGCCGTGCTGGAATTCCTGGCCTCGCCAACCGGCGGCAGGGATCTCGGCCGCGGTCTGCTTGAGCGCCTCGGCCTTCGCGGTAGCGCTGGAAGACGCAAATAAACCGGACGTTTCCCGTCCTTTTCCCGAATTTTGAGAAAGCCCTACCATGGCAGTTGCATGGACGAACGACATGACATCATCGACCCGTTTTTGGGACAAGACGGCACGTAAATACGCTGCTTCACCGATCAAGGATGAGGACGCCTACCAAAAGACGCTGGCCCGCACGCTAGAACACCTTGGACCACAGGACAATGTGCTCGAACTTGGTTGCGGCACGGGATCGACTGCCCTGATCATGGACGGCAATGTCAGATCATATCTTGCAACGGACTTTGCTCCGGGCATGATCAGGATTGCGGACGAAAAGCTCGAAGCCGAAAAAACCAGGGGCAAGTTGCACGACGGCCTGCGTTTTCTGACCGCCGATGTTTTCAGCGAAAGCGTCGAAGCGCCTGAAGGTTACGACGCGATCCTTGGCTTCAACTTCCTCCACCTCGTCGAAAATCCGGAAGACCTTCTGGCACGCGTGCACGGTCTATTGAAACCGGGCGGGCTCTTTATCTCAAAGACGGTCTGTCTGGCGGACAAGGCCTGGCTGTTCGTGCCGTTGATCAAGGCGATGCAACTGGTCGGCAAGGCTCCCTTCGTACGCGTCTATTCCTTTGCCTCGGTGGAAGACATGATCAGCAGGACAGGGTTCGACATCATCGAAACCGGCACGTACCCGGAACCGCGCAGCAGGTTCATCGTCGCGCGGAAGGCCTGATTGCGCTGTTTGCACCGGGACGTCGCGGCGAATGTGGAGATCCGGAAATGTTCCCGGGTACCGCACTTCCGCATCCTCGAGGCCCGAAACTACCCAGGCCCGCTGCACGAAGGTGTCGACACTTACCGTGCTGTTTCCGCGTTGAGTTGACAAAGGGGCGGCTTTGTCGGCTTTCGGCAACCTGTGCAGAAAACGTCTTTGGTTGGAAACTCTGATTTCAGGAAAGGGGCGGCACCTTCATGCCGTACTTTCCCTCGTCATTGGATCGTCTCACCAATCAGTATCGTCGGTCGGCCGTTATAATAATTGGGAATGTCGTCCAGGATTGCTTGCGAATTTGCAAGCGCGCCTTGCAGGACATCAAGCGATGCGACGGTGAGTGTAAACACAGCGAAATATCCCGGCGGAATGTCGGGGCCACCAGCAATGCCCCTGGAGGCTGACATGCTCTCGGCGACGTCGCCCAGGCCGTCACGTACCAGCTTCATGTGGTGCCCGGCATAATAGTCATGATCAAATGTAAGGCCTTCGCCCGTCGGATACATAACGTGGAGTGTTGCGCTCAACTCGGTCCCTTTTTGCAATAGCCAGAGCCTGTCGGACATGGTCGGCATGGTCAAGAACTCGGGCTGAAATAGTCCGCCTGGGTCTTGAAACCGGTGTTCGGTGGAGCGGATAGCTCATGACCTGCAGAAGGGATTACGTGACACGGAAAACCTGCAGCTTAAAAACATTCAAAAGATTTAAATCGATTGAAATGACCCGTTTCTGCGGCTTGCGGCGCCGTGAAGCGGGTGTTACGTAGGAGGCGCTCCCTCTGGCGCACCCAAGAAAGTCCCTGATGCTCGTCCGTGACCGCGCTTTTTTCACGTCCATGTTCCTCACGGTTCTGGCCGACCAGATCCTGCTCTTTCTGGTGCCTCTGGTCATTTTCCAGATAACCGGAAACGTCGCCTGGTCCGGACTGGCATTTTTCTTCGAAACGTTGCCGCGCTATCTCACCTTTCCAGTCGCCGGCATCCTGTGCGACAGATTCAACCCGATCCTGCTTTTGCGGATCAGCCGTATCGCAAGGGCTGCTGTCTGCCTTGTCGGTATCGCCGGTCAGATCGTGTTTGGCGGGGTCTGGTGGTTGATCGGTCTGTCTGCGCTCGTAGGCATTTTGACGACCCAGGGCATGCTTGCACTTGAAATGGTACTGGTCCGTGGTTTCAAGGACCAGCGGTTTGAAAAGGTGGCAAGCTACAGTCAGATTGCCTCGCAGATGGGTGTTGTCCTGGGGCCGTTGACGGCAGCCTACCTGATGGCGCTCTGGCCTTGGGAAACCGTTGTCTTCGTGGCGACGGGCCTGTTTTTCCTCGCTGACGGTATTTTCATGATGTGGCGCGGACAGGAACGCCTGGAAGGACAACCGGCTGGGGAGCGCCGGCATCCGGTTGCTGACTTGACGACTGCGCTTCGGCTGGTCTGGCAACTGCCTGGTTTGACGCGTGCGATCCTGCAGGCAGCCGGCGTCAACCTGATCATCGGTGCGACACTGGCAACAGCTGCGGCAATGATGACGGGATTTTTCGCCCAGAGTGAACAGACCTATGCCTGGCTGCAGGTTGGTGGAGCCGTTGCAACCCTTGCCGTGCTGACGCTGACCGCGCATGTCCATCTTGGGCTCAACACACTTGGAAGAACAGCCTATGCCTTCATCTGTCTTGGTGCAGTTCTGACGGGTCTCGGCGCGCATCCGCTGATCTACGCAGCCGGTTTTCTCCTGATCGCCGGCTTCGACAAGATGTTCAACATTTATGTCCGTACCCTCCGCAAGGAGATCATTCCACCGGCCGAATTCGGCAAGACCACCGGCATCATCATCTGCCTCAACAATCTGTCTCAACCGCTTGCCGGTCTGGTCGTGGCGCTCTTTGCCGCCGGGGACGACGCACGCACCGTTCTGCTGGCTCTCGCAGGTACTATGGCGGTACTGGGAGTTTTGACGTTTCGTCGCTGACAATTCTATTTGCCGACAAAAACTTGCGACTGTCTCAACCCTGAGATCAAGGGCGACTTTCTGCCGAACTGCGCACGATGTCCGCGATCTCGTTCAACTGGCCCGCCAGCGGGCTGGACTTGCGCCAGACCATGCCGACGGTCCGGGTCGGTTCGGGGTTCTCGAAACGGGAGATGGAAACCGAAGCGGAGCGGGTCTCGACGGGGACGGCCATTTCCGGGATGAGCGTTACTCCCATGCCGGCACTGACCATCTGGACGAGGGTCGACAGCGAACTCGCATCAAGCATCTCGCGCGGCGGGCCGGACGGCAGGTTGCAGAAGGAAAGCGCCTGGTCTCTGAAGCAATGGCCTTCCTCTAGCAGCAGCAAACGCATTTCCCTCAGGGTATCGGCGCTCGGGAGGGGCGCGCTGGCCTCACTGGCTGAACGAACGAGCATGAAGGTTTCGCTGAAGAGGGGTGTTTCGGCAAGGGAAGCCTCTGAAACAGGCAGGGCGACAATAGCCGTATCCAGTTTGCCTTCACCCAGTTCCTGGATGAGTTTTGGCGTCACCGTCTCACGCACATGAATTTCCAGTTCGGGATGGTGCACGGTGAGCGCGCTGATCACTCTTGGTAGAAGATACGGGGCAATCGTCGGAATAACGCCGATACGCAACCGTCCGACGAGGCGATCTCGGGAGGCACGGGCCAGGTCGCCGAGTTCTTCAGCCGCTCGCAAAATGTCACGGGCACGCTCCACGGCGACTTCGCCGAAATGTGTCAGCCTCACCTGGCGCGGGCCACGCTCGATCAGGGACGCGCCGAGCGCTTCTTCCATTTCCTTGATCTGCATTGACAGGGCCGGTTGGGAAATCGCGCAGGCTTCTGCCGCCTTGCCGAAGTGACCATGCCGCGCGAGCGCCTCGAAATAGCGAAGCTGTTTCAGGGTGATATTTATCATAAGAAAATCCTATCAAAGCAATCAGGAAATTCAACTTCTTCTGATCGAATTGCTCTGCTAGTTTGGAATCAGAAAAGACTGGAGCAGCGTGTTGTCGGGAACTCCTGGTTGCGCTGCCCGGTTTGTTTCACAGCTTTTTTGTCGTACTGCGGCCTCTCATCAGCATATGCGCAGCGCCTTGGCCTTTCTCGAAGGCTCGCTGTCAATCTGTTGTCACGAGGTCGGAGTTGTGTAAGCCGGTGCAATGCACCGACATCTGAATTGGAGAGGAAAATGGACGCGAAAGTCGATAAGGCGGGCGGTTGCCCGGTAATGCACGGCGGGAACACGTCGATGGACAAGCCGGTCACGAAGTGGTGGCCGAATGCGCTCAACCTCGACATTCTTCATCAGCACGGCGCCCGGACCAATCCGATGGATCCGGATTTTAATTTCCGTGAAGCCGCCAAGGGACTGGATCATGAGGCAGTCAAGGCCGATGTCCGGGCGTTGATGACCGATAGCCAGGATTGGTGGCCGGCTGACTGGGGTCACTACGGAGGCCTCATGATTCGTCTTGCCTGGCACTCCGCCGGATCCTATCGCATGCAGGACGGCCGTGGTGGCGCGGGTTCAGGCAACATCCGCTTCGCGCCGCTGAATTCCTGGCCGGACAATGCGAGTCTCGACAAGGCACGGCGCCTGCTCTGGCCGGTCAAGAAGAAGTACGGCAACGCCCTTTCCTGGGCTGATCTTATCATTCTGGCCGGCAACATGGCATACGAGACCATGGGCTTTGAAACCTTTGGTTTCGGCTTTGGCCGCGAGGATATCTGGGGACCGGAAACCGACGTTTACTGGGGTTCTGAGAAAGAATGGCTGGCGCCGTCGGAAAACCGGTATGAAAACCTGGACGATGCGACCACTTTGGAAAATCCGCTCGCGGCCGTTCACATGGGCCTGATCTACGTCAACCCGGAAGGCGTCAATGGTCATCCTGATCCGGTCAAGACAGGCGCGCATATTCGTGAGACTTTCGCCCGGATGGCAATGAACGATGAGGAAACCGCGGCATTGACCTGTGGCGGCCACACGGTCGGCAAGGCGCATGGGCGCGGTGCGGTGGACAAGATCGG